CATTTTGAATTATTATTAATCCTGGGTGTTAGGGAAAATGGTTCTTTTAGTAATCCAGTGAGGAAGAAGGTACCAAAGTAACCGGTGTGGCTTTGAACAGTCCTGATCAGCCAGCATTTCCCATCAAACTCACAAGTGGAGGCTTGCTAAGTCCCCTTGTACCCTGCCAGCCCAGGTATTTAAATGGGTAAGTGCAGGCTGGTGAGCAGACCTTCAGGCAGTGGTTTTTTAAACATTGGACCTTGTTGTGTTAAGATTTTATCCTTGTGGGACTGGAGAGCCCATGGCTCCTAATGGCTTCTTGCAAAATTAGGTTTGGCTTTCCATTTAGCTTTCATGTGAATCTGTGCAGTGCCACATGGAGCAGGAATTCTCCATCTTTCCTTTGCAGACTGTCAGAACAGTGATTAAGCAGACAAAGGGATTGATTGTTTTTTAATGAAATAGTCTATCTGGCAAAAAATGAAGTCGGGCTCGCTGGAGACTATCCATGCTTTCAGTCGCCTCTTCAGAAATTCATGAATAGTTCCCTCAAGAAAACAACACATTTTTTTAAAAGCTTGAAATGAGTTTTTAAACATTTTGATTTTTCATCCTAAGTAGCATTTTGTTAAAAAAAACCCTAGCTGAATATAGTCTTTGTGAAAGGAGTAGAAATTGTTCCATTTTGCCTGGAATGCAATGCCTTGAGACAATGCTAAGTGTTTCTGTAATGGGAGAGGAAAGCTTGCCGAGAGTTGGAAAATTTTGTTTCTCAACACTGTGTCTCCCTTCTCGACCTTCTGTTCATCCAGTTAACTGAAAGATCAGTTATTCACATAGCTCTGCCTCTAAGTCAAGCAGCTATTAAAAAGTAATCATCCATTTATACCATCATAAAAAAGTCTAGATTGGAAAATATCTCTAGAGATCATCTGGTCTAACCTTGCATTAAATTATTCTTAGTCTGACTTGTGTCAGCACTTGTTTGGCAATCACAGGACCAGTTAAGGTTTATCAAGGGCTAATAAGCCAACATCTTCCAGCCTGAAATCTGGGAAAAAATATTTCAGGTAACTCATGAGCTAATTTTCCTCATTTCCGAGTGTAAGAATTTTTCATTAACGAGGGAAAGGAAAAGCCACCTGCACAGGTAAGCACAGTATCACATTAATGTAGTAATGTATAAATAGTCATATTTCACAGTCCTCACTGAAGACTTGGTCTGCAGGTAGTTTATGCCTTCATGCATCAGTCTGTTGAGGTCTGGGTCCTTCAGAGCCCAAGGTTCATTGAGCCTACCTTCCTTTAATCCAAGTTCATAGATACTTTGCATAGCTGGTGCCATTTCAGCTCATAGCGAAAACAGATGTGGTGTTGAACGCTATTGCCATCTTCTACCACAGGGGAAACATTTCCATAGCATTCTCTTCTTCCCCACTGCTCTCAGGAACCACTATGCAGTTCACAAGAGATAGCAGAGAATTCTCCCTTTTTTCCACCTGGGACACAGGACTTGTGCTCCATGCTGGAAGCTATTTGTCTAGGAGGGTGTGCCCACACACCAAGCACAACAGCATAGATCATGTAAAAAAAAATTTTGGGCTCTACACTGCTCCCTTTCCCTTGTCTTCTCTTCCCCCAATGCTAATAAAATGCTCTTCTTTTTTGGAGTTACCTCCCTTCACAGCTGTTGGCTGCTCTTCCAGCTCTCAGCCCCCAGGCTTAAGTTCAGTTGCTTACTCAATGGGGAATGGCATTTGTCAATTCTAATGCCTGGTGTTAAACTGTGCAACTTAAAACCAGTTATAACCTTGAGCAAAATTATTTAATCGCAGGATTTAGCAGATTACAGGTTGAGAACACTATATAAACATCAGGCTGGGTTTTCAGGCTAAGCACTTGGAGGCAAGGCAGAGAGATGGCATTGCCATTCCATTATCTTTCCACCTATCGCCCATGTTGTTAATGGCAGCAAATAATAGCCACAGGGGTTGCTATCATTTCCTCCACCTGGCAACAGTGTCACAGGCTGTTCCTCTGTCAGCAATTGCTAGAGGGAAGTGCTCTCTAGAAAAACCTCCACCTACTTGGAGATGTCTTTTTGCACACCTCCATACTACATTTGCTGGGAAGTCGTGTGAGTAGTCAGCTGCATGTTCAAGACAGCCTTAAAACCTGTTCCTGGAATTTGGCTATTTGTCTGCACAGGGGGCTCCTCTACACAACACCCATTACCTGAAGATTAAGTAGAGAGTGGAAAGGCCCATGACATTATAAATTGTCTGAATCTGCCCCCAAAGAGCTTAATTCACATATTTGTTTGTGTTTTTTCATTTTTTGGTTTCTCCCATAATAAAATATCTTCTAGCAAGAAGAGTTTGCAAACTGGCTCTTGTTTGCAAGAAGTTTATTAAGACTTTTTTTGTATTTTTGTATCCTTGAAAAAGACTTTTTCACTTTTCAAATTAGATTAGTGGGGCCTATTCTTGTGACTCAGAGTGCAAGCCTCCTGAATCCTTTGCTTGTGGGGAAACTGGGGAAGAGCATGAGACCTTTTCTTCTGTCACCATGCAGACCTTTGAGAGAAATAAAAGCTCTGATCCTTAGTCCATTCCTCTTTTCATTAAGCCATTCTGTATCTTTCATTGTTCTATTTTTTCATGATGGACAAAATTCCAGATTTTATCATCACTGGCCTGTTGTTCAGGACTGCTGTTCACGACTAGGCCACTGAGTAACTCTTTCTGCTCTTTGCACTTCATCATCAGTGAAGTCCTGGTACTGTTGTTAAATGTTATAATGACCCAGGGGAACTGCCTGACTATTTACTCAGATTAATCTCCTGATTTTCCAGCCAACTAATTGGTTTCTATCCTATTTTCTCTTCTGGATTCTATGCTGACTTTTTTCTGATTGCTCCTATCACCTTCATTTCTTTCACATATTTCTTGTGGAATTAAGTTTGTCTAGCAACAGCCTTGTACTTTCCAAACTGTGCAATTTTTTTTATTTCTCAAAATACTTTCTTCATGGCTAAGTCCAACCAACCCTTCTGCATTTCCCCTCCCCCCACTATCAAACATTGAATTACAGAAATTTTTATGATGGTAATCCCAATGGAAGGCCTAATAGACAAATTTCCCCAGGAAAAACATTTAAAACATTTGGGGTTACATCACCCAAATCTTCAAGAACCTGTGTCCACCAGTTTCTCAGTTATCAGACACTTGATCTCAAGGTGAGCCAATATCAGTTCTTCGCTTTTTTTTCCAAAGGGGTTTAAACCCAAAATAATTTGTAGGGTGTCCTAAAGTTCAGGCTGGCTTGGTAAAGTCTCTACCCACAGAAGAGCTTCCAGCAAACTATCATGACAGGAGCTCCAAACTTGTAGGAATTATTCCATCTTTGTCTGACAGCAGAAGACAAGGGCAATTGCTCAACTTAGATGGATGATATATGTCACAAGCAATCCCTGAACACAGGACTACTGTGCTTAGCATGTGACTGTAGGCCTGTAAAGTAGAAGTTATTGTGTTTTAGCATTCAGTACATTTTTTCCTCAGCTGCTGTTATCAGGAAAAAAGTCCAAGTGCCTAATACCAGTTTGTGCTTTTTAGTGTTCATCACAGTGATACACAGACTTGGTCTAGCTAGTGCTGAGAAGAGCCCTGTGGGATGGCACTGTTCACATTGCCACAAGATAGGTAAAATTTACAGCCCAGCCATACAGAGAGAATATATGTCAGATGAAATTACAATGTGATCTTTCTGCGGTGTCAACTGCAAGCTGCAGAATCCAGGGACAGGGCTTTTTGAGCATACTCCCTCTGCATGGCCTACTTTGTAGCTGGTGGCTGCATAGACACCTTTGGAGACTCTGATACTCTGCTGCTTTTGCGAGGAAGATAAAGGAAAGGCTAATTGTGTTCTCCAATATGCTGTGCACTTGGAAAAGGCTTGAGGCAGTCTGACCCTAAATATTGATGATTCAAGGTAAAATTGTCTCCAGATGACAAGATGCATTCATTTTTTTTCCCCTATTATCCCCAATACACAAATCTTTTTTTTCAAAACTAGATTATCTCCTAAAATCAAAAGCTCTAATTAATTCTACCATTTTATCTGCAACAGGCACTGTTAACATCTCATATCATGCTCCAATAAATTTGCCCACAGAGATTAACAACATCTGAGAGGGGAAAGAAAAAGAAAGAAAAAAAGGAGGGAAAGAAAGCTTTTTCAGTTGAAGACCAGGAACTATTCTTCTAATTAGCCCAGGTACACAATGGCA